CAAATACATGTACACATTCTTTCACAATAAAAACAGTGTATCAAAACCAGATTATAAAGATACAAGATTTAGTTCAGGGATTACCCATGATTAAAACATCAGTGGCTGCAGGGAAAGCACCCTTCTGATTCCTGGTAGCTTTTGTGCTCCAAGCATGAAAAGCAGTATGCAAAACAGGCTATTCAGGACTGGGGTGTGTGTTATGTCTAATTCATCAGCCCCTGACAGGGGAACAAACACTGCTGTCATTTCTTGTGGACTCCCTTTTCCACGCAGGTCCACAACAAAAACAACGTCTTGGGACCTTCTCCGGTATTCTGGCAAGCTTTCCTGCAAAAATGATGGCTGAGAAATACTAAGTCGACTATGGCAGCAAAATATCACTGCCAGGGTTTTGAAGATGAAATTTGCAACCTGTACAATGTACATATGACTGTTTCATACCCAAAATCGTGCCCTAGAACACAAAACAGCTATGGCTGCAGTTAGAACTGGATAACTATGAAAAGAAAATACAGTCCCTGTACTATGAATTGCATATATTTTAAGCTGGAACTATTGAGTGTCAAAGGAAGCAATTTTGCAAAGTACAAGATTTTTAAAGGACAAACCAACATGTCTATACAGCAGCTATAGTAGATACTGGTAAATGCTGTATATAAGAACAAGACAGATGAATATTGTTGTAAAGCAGGCTTTATTTCTTGCAAACGACACCAGAAAAATACCTTTCTGTACAAATCACTTGTCTTTTTCAAATCACTAAACAACACAATCGTTTGTCTTAAAAAAGGTTCCTTGAAATATCTACATAAAGACTATAACACTACGTGACTAGAAACATCTAAAAAATGGAAATGTCTACAAAGATGTGGTAGGTTCTAGAAAAGGGCTCAACCCTGTTTTCAATGCTGCCGTGACCCTAGATGACCCCTGCTAGGGCTTGAGTAAATACTTCATGCAAATCTGGTCAAGCCTCATACATGTAGCACCAATGACTGGTATTCAACGGATTCTCTTAAAAACTGTGTATCAAAACATTTGGGTACAAAACATTCCTCCATTTTTTTGGAGTTTCCAAGTTAGAAAACATGAATGTCTAAAAAGTGGAAAACATTGGCACGTCCTGCAATTGTGAGAATATTTGCATCGAGAATTTGATGTTTACATGTGCTTTAATAGTATTTTGAAAGGCTTGGCAGGTTTTCGGGTGGTAAAAATGTAATACTGCTCTGTAGGGAAAACAATCAAGTGAACCACAGTTCATTAACATGGTTCTATGGTAAAAAAAACAAGAAACTACAATCATACATGTAACAACGTGAACATAATTCTGATAATGCTGTTAACTGTTCTGACAAAACAAGGAGGTTAGAGCCCCTTGGACGAAGCTAAGATTAACTGTTTCAGAATTTTGCAGAAGAAAACATCAAGTTTAAACATGAACTAAGCAACATGCTCCAGTGTTTACCTTATAGGCTTCCCAGAATGACAGTCTAAATTCATTCTCTGTCCCAAATTTGTGCACAAATCCATGAATTCTCGCCGCATTGACTTGTGTATTGTTCCAGTCCTTAGTAGGAATACTCCATGGTAGAAGCAGCTCAGTAGGTGAGAGTGGATGGAAACAAATCCGTGAAGAAACCAGGAGGAAGAGTTTCTGCTGGCTGGGTGCTAGCTGGTTGACAGGGCTTGACCTCGTGACCCGACCTTTGTGACCTAGAGGACACAGACAAACCAACATTAGTAAAAAAGAAAAAGAAAATGCCTTACATTTACTGTAGATCTTAAAATGTTAGCTGGTTTTATTTTATTTTCAGGGGTAAGTTCTTAATCTTGACACTGAGAATGTGTGTTTTGTATTACTACCAGGGTATTATTCACATTATTATTGTATTTTTTTGGACTTCAGAATATCTGTATAACTGCCCTTTGGTGTAACACAACAGTATCACAAGCTTGCGACATATGGCAGTAGCTACTTATATAAGTAAGTATACAGAATGACATTACAACTAACCTTTGTACATCTAACTGTAAGCTTATTTATAATGTATCTAACTTCAAGCCAGAGTTTCCCAAAACGAACACATTTTTTAATGTCCTCTACCCACACTACACTAGTTCAGGTACATTGTACATGTACAGTATATCAAATCTGTACAGTTGAGTGGACAAAGGTGACCCTACCCTTGATGCTTCAGTACACTCCCCTATTTGGGGAGGGGCAGGATACTAGTAATTTCTATTTTATGATGACATATGGATGCGTATGCATTTGCAGGTACATTGGCACAGAATCCCTGACTGTTGAAAAAAGGAGAAATCTAGGCACTGAAACAAAACTTTATATTCCCTTCTTCTGAACATAAAACCACAGCAGGGCTGGAAATACCACCTGCATATGCAGATTATGTGCAGGTAAAATTGGAGCTGTGCAGGTATTTCTGATGTCTACCTGCACCTAACCTGCATATACTCTGTGATATACTTGTACCATCAAACTTCTTTTTCCATATCTTTTCCCACGAAATGTACACATTGCGATGGCCTAAATCCTTGTTCTTAATAAGGAGTGAAAAATTCTGAAAGAGTTGTTAACTGTGACCACTTGCTAAATGCAACCTCTCCAGTTTTAGGAAAGAAATACTGTACATGTATGTAGGTCCAGACTGACTGTAATCCAGACCAGGTTTGTTATCAGTACTTGACCAATGTGTGATAAATAAATGAGTGGGGAGGGAAGTTGGACTCCTACTCATCATGGTTAGGACAAATTAAGATAATGAGGTTAGAAGTGTTTGCAAAGGGCACTTCCTTTGAGAAAAGGAACAGTCCTGGAAGAAATAGTGCTTTAAAAATTGTAACAATGGCTCCTTGGTGAATGTACAATTCTAGCCTTTTCCTTGTTCTTTCAGTACTGTACATAGTGAAACTTTTGCATTAATTTTACTACACCGTATTAGGGAAAAGGAGGTTTGAGGAAAAGGGTAGTACCGTAGAACAAAACACACATATTCACGGTGTCATGATTTGGTGATAAGACACTGCAAAAACACAAAAATAAAACCATCTTCAGTGTAAATACATGTACAGTACTCAATTTGATGTCTGCGCCATGTAACATTTCTAAAGTCTCTGGTTAGTCTGGTAAGACTAAGCTGGAGATCGAACTCACAAAAGTACGGAATGCAAAGCGAACACTCTACCCACTTGGCCACTGCACCAGTTTGGAATTTGACCAATGTTAAAACAAATTGGGTTGTTACATAACAAGAGTCTGGTTACGTATCAAAAATTTCTAATAGCAATAAAAGCATTTATGTAATATTCTATATTGACCTTTTTGGTAGGGCATGTCTTTTCAAAAGTCTTCAGTTATATAAGAGTAATTTATCAAATCTTCACTTGCGCTGAAAACCTGCTGCTAACATAGCTTACAAGTCAGGTAGAATATCCTTTTCTTTGACCTGAGAAAGATGCCAAAAAGCATTTTGATTATCTATTTAACCTGTATTAGGGTTGCATTAATAAAAACCACCTTCATATGCAGGTTAGTACAGGTAAAATTGTTGCTGTGCAGGTATTTCTGATGTCTACCTTGCACCTAACCTGCACTGGTCCATGTACTGGGTATATGCAGGTTAGTGCAGGTAAAATTGGAGCTCTGTAGGTATTTCTGATGTCTACCTGCACCTAACCTGCACTGGTCTGTGTTATTTGCAGCATTGACTGTTACCAACTATGAAGTATAATTACTATAAAAGATGTAATGGCAGTGGTCAAATCTGAACAGTTTGAAGTATGGTCCATACTTCCTAAATTCTGAGTGGTGCAGGGAAAACTTGTCTGGTGCAGGTCATATTCAGTGTCAACTGCACCACTTGTGCAGGTATGCCGCGCCAAAAAAAAGGTATCTCAAACCCTGACTGAGGTTTAGGTACTGGTCCAAACCTGTTCTTGAACAATGCAACAAAGTAACCTGTGGTCTTCAATGATGACATAATGTTTACTTGGTCTTTTTTTCAGAATACTGTGACTTCTATGGACGTGTACATGTACGTGTAGCAATCAGTACTGTTTAACACCTTCAAGGTCAATAATCTTACTTGGAAAAACTGTGAGGATTTCTGGATCTTACACATCATTTATTAGCAACTGTATTTTCTTTCTAGAACCAGTCCTGAGACTGGCATAGGTGGAATTTTTCTGAAACTCCAGTTAGCCACAGCGCTGTAATATATGAGCACAATACTCTTCTTATCTCTGGAATCAAATTCCGCCTTCTGACCTCTTGGAGTGGTAAACCATCCGCAGCCTGAAACCTGGCAGTGCTCGACTCTTCAAGTGTCTACTCAAGACTTTTGGCCATGTTTTCTGTTAGAAAAGAGTTCTCTGTGGCACAAAACAATCATATACAGCCAGTGCCATTGTCATGTGGATGCTGAACGAAAGTTGCTTTCCTATCTTTTCCAGGCATGTATAAACATACAGATATCCATGAGTTGACTTTTCTGAAGCTTCGTGCATTTACTAGTCTAGTATAGTGGCCAAGGTACAAATGTATTGTGCATTCGCAGGCATTTTTTGGGGTATAAGCAACATTTTCTTGTATATTGTACCTACAGCTTCATGTACACAGTTTTCATTTGCTTTCTTGTGGAAGTTAGTTAAGTAGAATTATAACTGTTGGAAGTGGTATAAAAATACTGTAGAGAAATCCAGGCCTGTGGTTTTTCTATGACTACTAAAAGTAAAAACATGAATGCATTTGGCATTTGGAGAGGCGTACAGCTACCATGATTTTTTAGTGTTAGAGGAGAAAGATGAAATCTCAACCTGTGAAGTTAGCCATTTGGCACCAAATTTGTATTTATCATGAGGTTAGGCAGCTGGGATAAGGTTAATGATGAAAGAATACTCCTAGTTTTGGCTACACCTTTGGTAATACTCTCAGTACTACACACATATTAAGGCTCAAAATACCACCTGCATATGCAGATTAGTGCAGGCAAAATTGGAGCTGTGTTGGTATTTCTGATGTCTACCTGCATCTAACCTGGGCCATGTACTGGGTATAGGCAGGTTTAAGTGCAGGTAAAATTGGAGCTGTGCAGGTCGTATATAATTTCTGACATAGCCAGGTTACCAGACCTATTATAGCTCCCGAGTCCCACATTTGCTGAGAAGATAAAGGACTGCGGAGCTATAACAGGTCTGGTAACCAGGCTATTTCTGATATACCTGCACCAGTAGGTGCATTCATGTTGGTGTACATTGATGTTATGTCCTGCATTGACTGCTACCACCTTTAAACTCCTGAAAGAAATGATGGCAATGGTTTCTGAACAAGTTTTCAGTATGATCCACACTTCCTAAATTCTGAGAGATGGCAGTAAAAGTTGTCTGGTGCAGGAAGTTTTCTTTGCATCAATGAAGGAATGCAGAAAAAAGTATGTTGAGCCCTGAAATAGGTTCATGTGTCCATAGGGGTAAAACTGAGTACAAGTGTTGCATCATTTTGCTTCCCCTGAGGCTATATGAACTGGGCTGAAGCAAGGGCCATGTCCAAAATGCCATTGTTCTGGATTTCTCAAAAAGGTGTTGTCGGAAGGCCTCAATCCACCAAAAGAGATCATTCTAGAGATTTTGTAAATGAAAGATTGAGAATGATTTTTGGCAACACAACATTAAATTAAGTAAGATATATGTTATATGTGTGTGTACGGGTATAACTAAGCCAAGTAATTCTCCAAAATTGAAAACTTCACAATAATAAACGTGTGCAAGAAAAATGATGCTGGTAATATAAAACCATACATAAAGCATTCTTGTACTTGTTTTAAGTATAGTGGGAGCAATGGTCAACAAGTAACAATACTTAGAACAGTGGTCACTTGTTTAGCATGTTAGAAATTACAGAATTCTTCATACTTGGATAAGATGAAAATAAGCTATACAATGGCAGAGAGAGAAAACAAGTAGCAACAATACAGACTTGAAATTAAGTCAAGTAAAATTACTGCTAAAAATGTACTAACTTATTGGTCCCTTATGAAAAATTCTCCTTATTTGGCTATGCTACAAGTACTAGTAATCTATGGTAGCAACATAGGGGCAGAGCAGCTTTCATGAGTGACCAACAAGCTAAAATGATATGTAGGAAACCTGTTATTAGGCTGATCCAGGGTTGTGATTTGAGAGGGGCTATATTTCACCTGTGTGACATACGAGGTTATGTCAATAGAAGTTGTATTCAGCATAGAATCTGTGGCATTTGACTTCATTTTACCAATGGTGGAACCCACAGCAAGGCAGGGCTCAAAATTCATATTGAGGAATAGGCGTGGAGGTATACTTAACCTAAAATTTGTAAAAAATTTAGGTGAATGAAAAAAATTTAGGTACACAACATTTCATAAAGTATGTCAGCAAAATCTGGCATTTTTTAGTTTCAAAAATTCAGATGAACATAAATTCTATTGTGAACTTTTAATTGTATACAAGTGACACAACAAAGGTTTTATTATTTTTCTGACAGTGACAATGCTGTAACAGTATATATATACTAACACTACAGGAATATCTATGTGTACCAGTGCACCCACAGCCCCATAGTAAAAAAATTGCAGGGCTCCAATTTTGCACAAAGACAAGATATGGCAGGAGACTTAGTATGCCAGAAAGACATAAAGAATTGTTTTGCAGCAGCTTTCTCT